GGGGAGGGGAGGCGCACCATGCTGCTGTAGAGTTCAAGGACACCCACCGTGCGGCCAACCGGCAAGTGTTAAGGGCACACGTGTGTAGCTCTACGAAAGAATCGAGGAGGGGGAAGGGTCACTCATCCTCTCCCCCTCTCCCACTCTTTCTCTCCCTCTCTTTCTCTCTCATCTCTTTCTCTCTCATATCTTTTGCACGCATGCGATTGGAGTGGTTTTCTATTGTTGTGTGTGTACTGACGCCTATCCTGCCATCCAATTACTCTTTATGGTAAAAAGTAAACGACTCTTTCGTCCGTTTCGTCTCTCTCTCTCTCTCTTTATTGCGAAAGTGTGATTCTAACTCACTCCTATCCTATCTACATTTGAAAAAATATCATAATACTATGTATCACAGTCCTCAATTAACAGTCAATGGCGTGCTTGGGTTGTCGGCGACGACGACCCTTCTACAACTTGAGGGGGTAGATGTCGTCGATCGGCACGTGCAGGAAGAGCGCGCGGGCGGGCCGCTTGAACAGCTCTCGGTACGCCTCGGCGAACGAGGGGCCGATCTCGCTGTACACCTGCTCCCAGTTGTCGTTGAGGACGCGGTTCATGGTGTCACCTGGGGGTCAAGGAAGGGAGTGCACAAGGAATGTATTATTTAATGGCGTGCCACTTAGTGAGGCAGGCGGTGTTGGCTTCGCTTGCGCGCGTCATTGAAGGGTCCTCACCGAGCTGCTTATCCCCGTTGAACAGGTTCTCCATCTTCATTTCCATTCGTTTCGGCGTGAGTTTCGCGACCACGTCGTTTATGTCGAAGTATTTCTTGCCGTCGGCTTTGGTCAGCAGTTTCCCCTTGATGACCAGGTCGGTAGTGACGTCATCTGTCACAGGAGAAAATGAGAAAAGTAAGGCTTTTTGCAGGAGACATGGTGTGTGTTTGCATGCCATTGCCCCGGTGAAGAGACTTACACAGGTTGACGGTGCTCTGGCCGGAGCCCCTGATTGGAAGCAGGAGCACCCTGCCGTTGACGGTGTACGTGCTCTTGGCCAGCACGGCTGGCGTTATAGTTGTGGCCTCCAGGATCAAGTTGTCGTAGTCGAACCTGCAGCAAAAAGCGCTCGCGTTGGCAAAGGCGAAACGAGAACGCGCCCGCGCCTACGGCCGCGCCTACGGCCGCGCCTACGGCCGCGCCTACGGCACACATACTTGACTTTGGTGACAGCCACGTCGTCCAGGATCTTTGTGGTGGTCATGTTGGTGAAGGTGAGGTCCATGTTGATGGGCCCCGAGCCCTGCGAGATGCGCAGCTCGTCGATGATGAGCGGGTCGAGCCGGTGCACGCCGAGCTTGGGCAGCCCGCCCTTGAGCTTGGGCAGGGCGTCGGCGACCGCGAGCCGGAGGCACTCGTTGGTGTCCGGGTCCGAGCGGGAGCACCGCTTGATGTTGGCGGCTGACAGAGAGACAAACACATTGCTCAGAGGATGATGACGCAGTGTGTTCGCTCGATCTCTCTCTCACACAAATTTTATCAGTTGACCGTTTATGTTTTTATCGAAGTGCAGAGATTGGGTGCCCTTTTAGGAGGCTGCGCGCTACAGAGAGATACGAGATACCAGATGGGGGTTATGCGATGCGCGGAGCCGGCCGGTGTTTAGGTGAGGTCGCGGGCAGCAAGGGGGAGCCGGGCTCTGGTCACTGACCGCGGTGATTCGTACACCACCCGCTCGGTAACCACGAGATAGGCATGGCAGCCCGCTCCGCGGCCGCGCCCAGCTCTGCCTATCCACCGCCTGTCAGGCGATGGTAGGCCACCCGCTCCGCAGCCGTGCACAGCTTTGCCTACCCGCCGCCTGCCAGGCGATGGTAGGCCACTCGCTCCGCGGCCGTGCACAGCTTTGCCTACCCGCCGCCTGCTAGGGGATGGTAGGCCACCCTCTCCGCGACCGCGCACAGCTTTGCCTATCAGTGGCTCCGTGGTGGTGCAGGCCTAGCTTATGCCCAGCATCGCCAGTACTCACGTAGTTTCCCGGCCGTGGTGGCGCCCACGGCGCACAGCAGCAGCAAC